TAAGCCTGTGGAGCAGATAAGGCAGGCAGTCCTATTCCAGTTTCGGAAATGGAAGATAGAGGCCAAAAGACAGTAAGGCCCTTCATCTGTTCATTTGATCCCTGATGCCTCCATCTCATCCATGTACCCCTCGCCGCCGCCCATCCAGAATTGATTGAGTACCCCCAGGCGGCAGGCCCTGGGGAGACCGAGAGACTCAGATGCAGGCTTGTCCTCAGACAGCCCACAGTTCAGTCGGGGGAATGACAGGTCCAGTGATACAGCTATTTAGTTCTGGAATCAGCCCTGGAGACCATGGCTTCTGATTTCAAATGTGCGGAACTCTTCAATTCAACTCAGCTTGGAACTTGACCTGGTTCTTGGGGGCAAGCATTAGGCGACCTTCACCCCAGGATGAGGGGAGGGTGCAGGCGACCAGTCTAGGATGTCACAATGTCCTCATGGCCCGTTTACTACCCGACTGCAGCGGGTCATGGCTATTTGAAGACAGCGTGGCAACAGAAACAAAAACGACCCTGGCTTTCTTCCCACCTACCATCATCGATGTATTTCAGAGCGAAGCAGCACATTTCTGGTGCCTTCTACGTTGCTTTTCAACAGAGAAGACAGAAAACTGGGTGGAGGGAAGTGGATGCAGGGGAAGGAACACAGTGGGCATTAGGGTCGGGTGGAGCTGGGCTGGGTCGTCGGTTCTCCATGTGGCCTCCATGGGGCCCGGGGAAGCCCCTTAACCTCTCTGAGGCCCAGGTTCTTCATCTGTGTCACGGGGGAGCAGGACTTGCTCTACTGATTTGCTGGAAAGGTTAAAGACGACTCTATAAAGTGTGCACGGCCAGTGCTGAGCAAACGGCAGCTGTCATTGCCAACCCACCTGACCAAAACCCATTCCTGGACCCATATGCTACTTCCCATTTTAAACAATCTGAAATATTTTCTATTTAAAATGTTTAAAATGTTTTATTCCCCCCCCCATTTACTATTAAAAATTAATTAGCAACACAGGAACAGGTGCATTGACAAAGTAATTTTATGGCTTTTGAACTTCTCTTCAGAGTTTCTATTTAAGCCATCTTATTTAATAGAGTGACTCGTGCCCATGGTGAATATATAGTTTTAAGAGATATACATTTAAAGTAAGTCTCCCAAAATAAAAATTTAAAAAATGAAATTAATTTCAGCCTGCCAATACTGCTAATTTGTTAGAAAAATAAGTCGGTAAGTAGTAAAATCTACATTTGAACTGATGCTATTGTTAAGAAATAAATAATTCGGTGCACCATCGACAGTTCACATCAATGTGTTTCACATTAATGACAGATTGGATAAATGCCTGATTTTTGAATATTCATTTTGAGCAATGGATTGAAGTAAAAAGAGAATTAATGTTTGTTTTTACTCCCTTGTCAAAGGGTTTGATTTATATTACAGATAATTGTATGTGCAACTTCTCTATCAGATTGCAAGTTTTTGTTGGCAGAGAGTTGAGGAAAATTCAAAGTGTGAAGAAAGAGGAGAGATAATGAAATTAAATTGAGATGAACTATATGATGAGATGTATTCAGCATCCCACTCCAAGGGCAATAAATTTTTTCCACTGGTCTATCTGAAAAAAAAAAAAAGTCTCTTGGTTTATATCACTAGTTCTCTATATCCAGAGGGAACCAGCGTCGCAGTTTCTGGTCTCTTCCTAGGATGCGCCGTGCATGGTCAGGCGTTTATAGGTATATGTGTACTGCATGCACTGTTGTGTACCTTCATTTTTTTGTAACCACCCAATTTATCTTGGATATGTTTTTTTTTTTTTTTATCAGCATATATAAATTGTGCTTTCAAAAATGAGTATCAGGTATTCAAAAATTCACATGTACCAGTGTTTATTTACCAGTGATGGGATTTAATATGTGCTCATCTACAACCTACCACAGACTTTCAGGGAAACTGTTTTCTGGGTGTTTTAGATGGAGTTGTTCATTCAGCTGCCTGGAAGATGGATCATCTCTGCCTGAACAACACGGGCCCCAAACCCAGCATGATGATATTGGTCTAGGTTCATTCTTCAGCTCAACCAGCAAACTTTTAGAGATGTGTGAAGTCCATTTCTCCCTCTGAACTTGCTATTTCCCAGTTTATAAATCAGAGATTATTGTTTCTTATCTTAAAAATTCAAAAAATTTTACAGGTTTTTCTATTTATAGGCTTATTATAAAAATGCGGAAATCTAGAAAAGCATAAAGAATAAAATGGAAATCTAGAAAAGCATAAAGAATAAAATAAAAATCTGCAGTTATCCCATCCCTCAGAGACAACTGATACAGAAGTGCTGGGAAGGGAAGAGTGTGGCCCCTTTAAACGATACAGAAGGGGGAAGGGAAGTGCTGGGGAGAGTAGGGCGTGGTCCCTCACTAGGGCTCTACCCAGGGGACCTGCGTGAGGACAGGCATTTTTGTTTCCCTGCCCAAATGTTGCATTTCCCAAGACCACCCTGGCCTGCCATGCCCCCATCCTGTGCCTATAAAAACTCGAGACCCTAGCAAGGCAGAGACAGAAATGGCTGGACGTCGAGAGGAGCACATCGGCGGAGGAACACACAAGTGGTGCGTCAAGAGGGACGCACGAACAGGCACCCGCACACCGGCAGGCCACCAAAGGCAGACCAGCACGGAGTTTGGCTGGGGCAGTTGGAGGAGCCTTGGGGTGCTGAGAGGCCTGATTCCAGGGAAAAACCATCTCCCTTTTGGCTCCCCCATCTGCTGAGAGCTACTTGCACTCATTGAAACCTTGCACTCATTCTCCAAGTGCACATATGGTCCAATTCTGCTGGTACGCCAAGGCCAGAACCCAGGATACAAAGCCCTTTGTCTTTGCGACAAGGCAGGGGTCTAATTGAGCTGATTAACACAAGCCACCTACGGCTAAACTGAAAGAGCAGCCTGTAACACACGCCCCCTGGGGCTTCAGGAGCTGGAAACGTTTAGCCCTAGACACTGCCATGGGGTCAGAGCCCCACAGCCTGCCCGTCTGTATGCCCCTCTAGAGGTTGGAACAGTGGGGCACTGTAGAAGCGAGCCACATCCCATCGCACGCTCTGCGAGGGGGACAAGGGAGCTTTCCTGTTTCACAACCACTATTAACCCTAAGGTACCTTCACTCCTAGTGCTCTTTCTGTAGCCCACTGTTGTGGTTTTTGTCTACGACATTAATTATATTTGACCCCTTTTCCCCTGTAGATATAAATTCTGCATAAACAAATTTTAATGGCTGTATACTTTATGGTGTGGCTGTGGCATAATTTATTTAACCAGTCTTCCATACTTAGACATTTTGTATTTTTGACTTCATACATAATTCTGTGAGAAAGACTTTCACCTCTAAATCTTTGTCCACTCTCCTGTGGGGTGGATTTCATGGTGTGGGATGAGTGGGTCAGTGGTTATTGATCCGTTATATTACATTGATCTATTTTGCCCAAGTGTTCTTCAAGAAGACTGTGCTGATTTTCAGCTGCATCAGCAGTGGGTTGGTGTGCCTGTTTCTCAATACTCAGGATAAGACTATAAATTAAATTTCTTAAAAATCGAGACAAAATATAGCAAGACCTTGTTTAAACATTTATTATTTTATTCCTCTTAGTAATCTATATTTAGAAAAACTTGCAGCCTAAACCAGTTAGGAAAACCAATAGTTGAAAACATTGTAGCAAATCTTTACTGTAATTGTAATAGCACATAGATAAACTCTGATATAACTTGTATAGAACATTTCTTTTTATGACTTGTGGGCAGCATCTTAAATATGGAATAAGTTGGACTCTGGGTTGATTGGAAGCCTCTTTTGCCAGAAAACCTTAGCAGAGAAAATAGATTCTCTTTATTGTGACAAACATATTCAATTAAGATTTATATTTACTCTAAAGAGAGATATTTCTCAAATTCTAAGTAATTTGTATTTAAGGAAAAAGAAAAAATGGCAGTAACAGTAAATTATAATGTAAAAAAATTAACCAGAATTGCAAAGTTGAGCTTACTTATTGTTAAAGGATATCAAGGATATCATTTATTCTTTTTAGACTTAAACAATACATCTTGTATTTTACATTATTTTAATGGGAATTACAAGAGATTGAAACTGTTGCATGTGTCTTTGATTACGGCATAGTCTCATGAACACTACTAACTTTGTGTTGGGTTTTGAAAATCTTCTAAGCACTTCCTCTCCCTCAACACATAGAAGCAATAAACTAACACCCCTAAGATTATACTGAAGTTGCCTTAAAACTCAGGAGTGAAATAAGCGGTTCCTATTAACTTTTCAAAGGAATACATGTTATTTTCTTTGGGAGATGATCTTGGCTCCCGAGAAAGGGAAAGCAGCTACATTATTTAAGGCAAAATTGTCTGCCTGTTTTCCAAATGGACACAATTTTCTTTCATTTTACCCATTATAGTAGTGGGAGACATGTTTTATAAAAAGTGGAGTTATGTTCTATTCATCTGGGCATTTTAGATTTTATAAAATGCCCACATTTTTATCAAGCTGCCCAGAATGTCACAACTGTGGAGTTGGAGCCCCACAGCCTGCCGGTCTGTATGCGCCCCCTAGAGGTTTGAGCAGTGGGGCACTGAAAAAGCGAGCCACACCCCCATCGCATGCTCTGCGAGGGGGACAAGGGAACTTTCCCGGTTTCACAACCACTGTTAACCTTAAGGCACCTTCACTTTCTGTAGCCCACTGTTGTGGTTTTCATCTACAACAAAACCGTATATATATACACACACACACACACACACACACACACACACACACACACATATCTGTCACCAGGCTCTGTGACATTCTGTACAGCTTGATAAAGTCCTCAATAGGGCATGATATGTAGTATTGGAGGCTGCTTAGTGCATCCCATTGTTTTTACAGTTCTTTAATTATATATATATTGAATTTTCAGTGTTTCCCCCTGAAACTTAATGTATTAATGGATGCTTTTCTTTTTATCCTCACAGTGTTTTTACAAATGGAAGATTATTTATTCCACCTGCAAAAATCATTATACCCAAATTTAGTCTGTCCGACTGGGACATCGTGCTGGCCACGATCGGAGAAAAAGTCTTCCCTCTAGGAGGCGTTCGGAAGTAAGTAGACTCTCGCCTATAGGACAGCCAGGGGGCGGCAGCTTGTGTTTGTTCTTTTCTATGAGAGTTTTCTGCCTGGACCAGCAAGGTCTAAAATGATTCACCATAAACTCTTAATTTTCATTCTTCAAGCAGATAGTATTTTTTCAATCTTGGTTTTATACTTACTTTTAACCAGCCTCATTCATTTATTCATTCAGCAAACCATTGAGCATCTACTGTGTGCTAGGGGTGGAGAATACAGCGTTGCAAAAAGGAGTCTTGCTCCCTGAAACCCCTACTGAGTGGGCCAACCTTTCAAGTTGCTAGAATACTGCAGTTGGTGTGTGTGTATATATATATGTGTGTGTGTGTGTATGTGTGTGTGTGTATATATGTGTGTGTGTGTGTATATATATATATATAATGAGGCCTCCCAGTTGGTCTGGAGGAGCCAGGCTTGTGGGAGCTGGTGTTTGGATTGAGTCTTGGCAGAGATGGGGGAAATGAATTTCATGGGACAGAAGAGCACGTGGAAGGGAGTTAGTGTGTGTAATGGCTTCTAGCATGGGCTTGGGGGTTCGACATGGAGCAAATCTCCTCTCCGCTGTCAGTGTCTCTGTTACCTCGGGCACATTCCTAACTCCTCGATGCTTGTTTTGTCATCTGGAAACCTGGAAATAATAATACCTACTTCCAAGGGTCCTAATATGTGTAAAGTGCTTAGCATAACACTCAGTGCATAGTAGGCATGAAATGGGTTTGTGTTTATGGTTGTGACAGTTGATGAGGCACAAACAAGCAGAGTGTGTTGAGGAAACACCACAGTGTCGTCACAGGAATTCAGCACTGTTGTGAGGGAAGCGGCCAGCCCCGAGGCCAGAACGTAGGTCCCATGAATACCTTACCGACCAGGCAAGGGGCTTGCTGTCTTGCAGCCAGTGGGTCCCATTTGTGTGAACGAAAGCTCACAGTGGTGGTCGTCCATCGTGATGATGGATTGAAGGTGGGAGGTGAGAGATGGGCTGTGAGCCAGGTGGCTGTGAGGATAATCTGGGTCGGCCTTCAGCTTTAACCACATGCACAGGCTGAAAGTGAAGGGATGGGAAAACTGTCCCATGCAAGTGGAAACCAAAAGAGAACAGGGGCAGCTGGACTTACCTCAGACAAAACTGACATCATGTGAAAAACTGCAGCAAGAGATAAAGAAGGTCACCACATTATGTTAAAAGGGTCGGTCCATCAAGAATATACAACAGTTATAAATAGATATGCAACCATCACTGGAGCACCTAAATATATAATATGCAAGTATTACCAGAACTGAAGGGAGAAGTAGACAGCAATACAATAATAGGAGGCGACTTCAGTACCCCACTTTCAACAATGAATACATCATCCAGACAGAAAGTCAATAAGGAAACCGTGGGCTTGAATAACAATATAAACCCAATGGACTTAACAGACTGCAGAACATTCTGTCCACCAGCAGCAGAATACACATTCTTCTCACGTGTACACAGCATTCTCCAGGATAAATCATATTAGGCCACAAATCAAGTCTTAGCAAATGTAAGATTGAAATCATATCAAGTATTTTTTCTGACCATAATGATACAAAACTAGAAATCAGTAACAGGAGGAAAATTGGAAAATTCACAAATATGTGGAAATTTAACAATGCATTCCTAAACAACCATTGGGTCAAGGAAGAAATCAAAAGGGAAATTAAAAAATATCTTGAGAGCAACAAAAATGGAAATAAATACTAAAACTTACGGGATTCAGCAAAACCAGTTCTAAGAGTGAATTTTATAAAGAAAATGCCTATATTGGTCAGGCGCGGTAGCTCACACCTGTAATCCCAGCACTTTGGGAGGCTGAGGCGGGTGGATCACCTGAGGTCAGGAGTTCAAGACCAGCCTGGCCAACATGGTGAAACCCTGTCTCTTCTAAAAATACAAAAAATTGCCAGGCATGGTGGCGGGCATCTGTAATCCCAGCTACTTGGGAGGCTAAGGCAGGAGAATCACTTGAATCTGGGAGGTGGAGGTTGCAGTGAGCTGAGATTGCGCCATTGCAATCCAGTCTGGGCAACAAGAGCAAAACTCTCTCAAAAAAAAAAAAAAAAGAAAAGAAAAGAAAAATGCCTATATTAAGGAAAAAGAAAGATCTCAAACAATCTAACTTTACACCTCACTTTTATTAACAGAATGAAAGAGATCACATGATCATCTCAATAGATACAGAAAAGGCACTGGACAAAATTCAACCTTTCACGATCAAAGCTCTCAGCCAATTAGTATACAAAGAATATATCTCAACATAATAAAAGCCAAACACGACAAGCCCACAGTTAACATCATACTCAACGGTAAAATGCTGAAAGCTTTTCTTCTAAGAAACAGGATAAAGGTGCCCCACTTGTACCACTTACATTCAGCATAAGGCTGGAAGTCCTAACAAGAGGAACCAGATGAGAAAAAGAAACAAAAGGCATCCACATTGGAAAGGAAGAAGTCAAATAATCTGTTTGCAGATGATATGATTTTATATATAGAAAACCCGAGACTGTACCAAAAAACTGTTAGGATAAAAGAATTCAGTAAAGTTGCAGGTTACAAAACCAACATACAGAAATCACTTGTGTTTCCACATAATCTCAACAAGCTATCTGGAAAAGAAATTAAGAGAAAAATCCCATTTACCGAAGCACCAAAAAGAGTAAAATACTTAGGAATAAATTTAACCAAGCAAGTGAGAGCTCTCTACACTGAAAACTATAAAACATTGATGAAAGAACTTGAAAAAGATACAGTAGATGGAAAGATACCGTGTTCATGGATTGGAAGAGTTATTATTCCTCCAATATTGTACTGGAGCAACCGCACCAACGAGAGATCTCTTCTGAGGTGGGGAGTCCTGCAGAGGAGCAGGTTTGGTTGTTGATAACAAGTTAAAGAATCAACTCAGACATGCCTGTGGGACCCGCAGGCCTGGGCTGCAGACGGAGATGGAAGCTGGAGTTTTCGAGTGGGCATGTGTGAACTCAGTAGTCGGTGGAGCTGTGTGTGGATGAGACCCCCGGGAGCTGGCCTGGAGAAGGTGGGCAGCTCAGGTGCCTGTGGGGTCTTCCATCAACTGCTTGTCACTTTGTGAGAATGTGGGGCTGTTGTGGTCAGAGTTTTCACAAGAAGGCAGAAACGTCAAACCATGTAAAACAAAGACAAGAATCCTCCTCTCATGGGTTCTTTTTATGCCCCTGTTCTGTCCACAGGCAAGGTTTTGGGTATCCTATAAGGGCAGCTCTGTTTTCCTTGGCATCTCTCTGGCCTCAAGTTCGTGCCCTCGTGGTCCTGATGCTGGAATGGATTTCCACGTGTATGTGGCCCTGCCCGTTGGTGCCTCATCTGACCACGTGGCACCTGATCCTGCCTTTGCCCCAGATGCGGTTTCTTGAATTCTTTTTGCCTCGTGTTCTGTGGCTATGGACTCCTGGCCCTCTGCCTGTTCCCAGTCCTGGATCCGCCAACTAGCTGGGGGTGGAGTTCTTGGGGGTAGTTTGGAGTGGGAGATAAAGGGAAGCCACAGAGGGGTGTGCAGAAGAGCTGCAGACTCCGGAGTGGAGGCAGCGGCCCAGGAAGGCACAACCTGGATGCCTGGGCTGGATTAGCTTCCAGTGAACACTACAGCTGAGGCCAGGGAGACGAGATCTAGAATGCGCTCTCTGCCTGCACTTAGCAGGTGGCCACCGGCACTGTGAGATGGAAGCCAGGTCCTGTGGGCGGGCTGGAGTGGTGGGTGAGAAAGCAGAGATGGGAGTGTAGGGGGTACATGTCTGTGAAACAGGGAGAGAAGGGTGATGCGGGATTGTGGCTTGAGGGGCTCAGAGCAATGACATGGTCACTGCTGAACACGAGGGGCCTGAGCACACCTCTCTCCCGAGGGAGAAGGTGGAGGAAGGAGGGGCATAGGAGCCAGACCCTGAGCAGGTGGAAGAGGGTGTGACCTGGAGGATGGGTGGATGCATAAGCCGTGCGAGGTGGGGGAGCCACCCTTCCTGCAAGGCAGGAGTGGAGGTGAGGATTGGTGCAAGTACGGAAAGCTTTAAGGTAGGAGGGAAGGAAGGTGGCAAATTAATGCCTAATGGACTCTAAAAAGGGAGAAGGCTGTGTCTTGCGAATGGACAGAAGGAGAATGGGGCAGCGGGAGGGACACGGAGTGGGAGGGTTGCCGAGCAGGGTTGAGGGCCCTGCTGGACTGCGTGCTGAAGATCTGTAGCGGAACCAGCCTGCAGTTACATGTACTCTGGGGCACTCAGAAGCTGGGGACGAGAGAGGAGAAGGCAGATGGGCGGTTGGTCCACGAGGCGAGGGCAGGGAGGGACAGGCAGGGATGGGGGCTCATGTCGCAGCAGGCGAAGCCATTGCTGGCGTGGACATGAAGCCAGAGCCAGTTGGGTGGCGTCTGGCCCAGGGTCTGGCTGTTGGTGCAGATTAGAGGAAGGTGAAGTGGGAGAGTGGGAGGCCGGGAGGTCAAGAGGCTGCAGAGGCGAGGTTGAGACATCCACCTGGGGACGCTTCTGGGCGATGATGAGGTGTGAAGGACTGCCCTGGGAGGGGCTGAGAAGGCGCAGGGGAGATGAAGATCTTCCAGGCTGAGAAGTGGGAAAACGCCGTGCAGCAAGGAGAGTTAGGAGGAGCCTGCCGTGGGCAGCGATGGTCCCCTGATGGTAGCTGCTGTGGAGGAGGAGCAGAAACAGTTAATCCTGCCTTATGCTTTTGCCATTTAACTCTCCCATAGGGGTAGATTAAAAACATTCAAGAGTGATTTGCAGTCAACAGTTGTGATACCATCAATGAAAACTGATGTCCACTTTTGAGTAGGATGTAAACTGTTGAGCCGTTTAGAGCAGTGGAGCGATGAGTAACCTCATGGCAGTGGCGACGAGCAGGTGGAAGTTAGATGCTTGTGCACAAATCTGTACCGGGAATACCTCCATACTCCCAGAATGCAGCTAT